AGCAGCAAGTGATGAAACCTTTTCTAAACAACACTCTGCAACTGTGGATCTAGCCATTACACACAACGTATTTGCGCCGAGCAGTAAAACCCCATTCATTAGTTGTGGGGAGTTGATCTGCGCACTTTAATCTTCAGAACAGAGGTATTGCTGCAGTTCTCCAGAAAGCAACTGCAAAATCATGTGATATGTTGGGTCTGAATCATTAAAGTTTATATCTAGCCAAAACTTTTTATTTTTTATTTTTGGATAGAATGGGTAAAGGTTAGAACCTATGTTTTGTTTTTATTCTATCAGGGGCTCAGTTAAAGAGACATACCCATACTGTCATGGTGACAATGATTTATCCAAATAGCAAGCAAGAAAGATCTTCAACAGGAACACAAATACCAATAAAAAGCATTAAATAATGCAAGTTTGGTCCTGAATACCAATAGCAGCAAAAGAGGTTCAGTATTATATGGGATGTACATTGTTAATGGGGAAGCCAGTAGCATGCAGTTCCCCATTCACACAAGGCATTGAATTTCATGAATGGGTTCACACAATACAAAGCAAGTGATTGGGCAGGAGGGGTGGGGGGTGGGCACAGTGGCTGCATATGACCCTGCCACTGCAGGAGGGAAAACCAGAAGGTTCAGTGTCAGAGTGCCAGAAGTATACAGTATATATGGTCCCAGCACTCAATAAAAATAAAAATTGTAACTTAAAGTACATGAGGTGGCATGCGCCTCGTTGGACCCAAGCCCTAGTAATCCAGATCATTTTAGAAAGTAGCTAAAATCCTAGAGTTCAGCTGTACCCGCTTGCCGACCCGCTGCACTGTTTTTACTGCAGCAGGGCAGCACCTGTACGCACAGCGCTGTCTTTTAACGTCACTGTGCAAAACAAGTAGGGGGCGCGCGCGAGGCGCATGCCCCCCCTACCCGTCCCGCCGATCGTGGCAGTGGGTGTCCATCACCTGCTCCCGGCGGGTCATTTCCCACAGGGTGCCAGCGATTACAAGTAATCACTGACAGATAGCATGGCTGCATTGTTTACATTGCAGCTCTGCTATCTGTCAGTTCAGAGCACACTGAACCTGAGAGAAGACTTTATTTCTTGGGATCAGCATGTTCCTGTGAAGAACACACCCCCGCCCCCTAGTAAAACACTCCCCTCACACAGTTAACCCTTTCATTACTTAAAAGTTAACCCCTTCCTCCCCAGTGCCATTAGTACAGTGTCAGTGGTTTTTTTTTGCGCTGATCACTGTATTGGTGTCACTGGGGATGTCAGTGACCCCAAGTCAGTTCCCCCCCAGTGTCAAAAAGTCCGCCGCAGTCCCGCAGTCCCGCCATAAGTCGCTGATCACTGTCATAAATCGCTGATCACCGCCATAAGTCGCTGATTGCCATTATTAGTATAAAAAAAAAAATCCCAGTATCTTTCCCGCCATTTGTAGACGCTATAACTTTCACGTAAACCAATTAATTTACACATATTGGGATTTTTTTTAAGGAAAGACGTCGCAGAATACATTTTGGCAGAAATTTATGACTAAATTTGATTTTTACATTTTTTTTACTGGACATGTTTTATAGCAAAAAGTCCAAAATATTGTTTTTTTTTCTCAAAATTGTCAGACTTTTTTTTCATAGCACAAAACATAAAAAACGCACAGGCGATCAAATACCACCAAAAGGGTGGGAAAAAAAGATGTAAATTTCATTTATGTACCGTATTGCATGACCGTGCAATTGTCCATTAAACTAGCGCAGTGCTGTATAGTAAAAAAATGGCGTAAATTGCAGTATTTATACCATAGTTTGTAGACGCTATAACTTTCACATAAAGCAATCAATATACACTTATTGGGATTGTTTAACCAAAAACATGTAGCAGAATACATTTCGGCCTAAATTTGAAACTAACTTTGGGTTTACTATATTTTTTTTTATAGCTGAAAGTAAAAAATATTGTTTTTCTTCAAAATTTTTGGTCTTTTTTTGTTTATAGGGTGAAAAATAAAAAGCGCACAGGTGATCAAATACCACCAAAAGAAAGCTCTATTTGTGTGAAAAAAGGATGTAAATTTTGTTTGAGTGCAGCATTGCATGACCGCGCAATTATCAGTTGAATTAGTGCAGCGCCGAGTAGCAAAAAGAGGCCTGGTCATTAAGGGGGGTGAATCCTCAGGAGGGCAAGTGGTTAAGAAGAGCTAAAATGTGACTTTTGCTTATTTTGTTTTCTGTTGAGTCACAAGCACTTATATATGGAATCTTTTCTATTCAGCCCTGTCTAGTCTGCCAGTGAGCAAAGACAATAATAGGCTTTTTAAAAACTGATTCTCACTAGAAAATAAATTCAAAACATTTTTCACTTAGTGTTAATGCACTTCTAGTGCTGAGTAATGGCCACACACCTCATTGCACCCATCCTCATGTACACTTGTAGTGCTGAGGAAGAACGCGGGCATGACTGATCAGCTCTGTTACATGATGACGTGCATGGGTCAGCTTGGGAAAAGTCTTTCTGACTGAATTTCTATTTCTGCAAGTTGGTTTAAAATGTTATAATACTGCAGCCTTATCTTGGGGATTTTTGTGTGCATGTTGTTGTCATACGTTTCCTTTTCCTCTCAGATCACAAATGGAAACCAAGTACATGGCTTTAAGATCCTTATGGAAGATTACCTGCTCCCTGTCTGAGCTTTGGGCTGATAATGGACACTATCTAGGCAGCTGTAGGTGGATAAAGCCGACAATTAACAAAGATTTTAGTTTTCTTTACTGCAATCCCGGTGCCGTCTTTGTTCAATGACAATGTATTGAGTGAGGGACTGTTTCACTCACTGAGATCAGTTAGATGGTAAGATGCCTTACAACCTGATATTTCTGCCCTGAGAAGGTCAGGATACTATTAAATAATTACAAATCAAGGCATTCTTGGAAGGAAATATAATGCGCTTTTACATTATGGAAAATCAAATTATTATCTGTTCCCATTGGTAAAAACTTAATGGTGATCAGTAATGATAACCTTGGCATTCCAGGTATCACTACCTAACTGAGCTAGCAATATTGCAGTCATGTACAGTATATGCCAACTACACTGTTCTAGAGGGGTTATCCGCATTGGTTTTTAAAGTGATACTAAAGGTATTTTTTTAAATAACAAACATGTTATACTTCCCTTTCCTGTGCAATAGTTTTACACAGAGTAGCCCCAAACTTCTTCTTCTCTGGTCCCTCTTTTGCACTCCTGACTCCTTCTCCCTGCTGAGTGCCCCCATACAGTAGCAATCCACTTGCTCTGGGGGAACTCATGTGTGCTTGTGCATAAGCCCCTCTCTGTGTGTCCATAGATGTACAAAGAATGGCTCAGTCCCACCCCTGCTCCCTCCTCACTAGCTCTAAATAACAGTAGTGTGAGCTGGGCCAATGAGGAGGAAGAGAGCTGGGAGAGTCACTGCTCTCGTGCACATCACTGGATCAAGATCGGGCTCAGGTAAGTATTGGGGAGGCTGCACACAAAAGGTTTTTTACCTTCATGCATATAATATATGAAGGTAAAAAGCTTCAGCCTTTAGAACCACTTTAAGTTTAGGTTTGGGGATCAGTAATTGAGGTTTATACTTGATAGTTAATCAATACTTTGGGCTAGTTTTATTATTTTTATTAATTTATTAACATTTTTATAAGTGTCTTCTTTTCTTGCAATGTTATTTTTTTCCCAGTTTTCTCAAACTTCAAAGCTGTTGCAGTGTCTTATGTTTCCAGTTGCTTATTTGCGGTATAGAACATCATTTATGCTGGGTATATATGCAGATGGTGGGTGCTGTTAATTACAGCTATTTGTAACTTAATGTTGTGAAATGAACTCCATTTAAAGATGTCAAATATGGGAGCTGATTGCACAGCTGTTATCTTTTATATCCAGTGCAATTAGTGCATTTTTGTTTTGACAGCAGATTGTAACTAGCTGGTGATCTACCTGAGCATAAACTCCTCCTACCTAAAACTACCCACACATTTTAAATGAACATTTGATTTAAAATATGAACATAAAATACTTATATTTTTATATGACATATTCAAACTTAAACTGTATTCAGTATAAACCTAGTTTATACCACGCTGTGCAACACAGGACAACAAAATACATGACTGTTAATGTTTTTTAGAACTATTTTTTGCTAACCTTGCTTGTAAATATGCAAGAAAAGGTTCCAATTTTGCATAATTTTAATTGAATTATATAAAATATGTCTTTCAAATATGGTATTTCTTGAAAGTAAAAGCCAATGAACAAGATTAACATCTAACAAATGACGTTATATAGAGTACAATTAAAGCAGCTTCATATTCATTTAGTTCCATAGATGTATATACTTTCAGGAAATCCCAGCGTAAGCTACAAGTTCCAAAAGCTGTAGATTACTCAGGGCTAAGGACTTCACATGTCATAGCAGTGCTGTCATATGGAATGAGTCATATGCTCCTTTGCACTCAGAAGTACCAAGATATTTTCCTAGCCTCATGATGTACAATGGATTGATGGGTAAGCAAAGGAAAGGTGAGATACTGCTAGGGGTGGTGGAGTTAAAGCATACCTGTTGATTTGCCCTTTAATGAGAAAAGTACAGGTTTATATTAGACAGTGTCTAATATAGTGAGCTGGAACATCTTCAGCTGAGTGCGGCTTTAGAAGGCCAGGTGAAATTTGCTCACTATACTTCTGTCAATACGTCCCGAAGTCACTTCCAATTCCGGTCCTATCGCTGGCCTGCGTTCCAGCGTGGTTATGTTTTCTGCTGGAGGAAGACACAGTCTGTATATGTTCTTAATCTGCATTGTGACAGAGTCCAGCTCTATTCCACCTATCCTGCAGAGCGGTTTTAAGGAAACATCACATCCATCCATCCATCCACCTACTGTTCACTGAGACTTGCCAGCGAATAAGGACTGATGATATGCCCATTTACTTTCATCCTTGTAAGTGCATTTTAACCCTTTCCTTTACCATCAATGCCACATATCAGTGCCCATCTGAGCTGCCTTTCAATGTCACCCATCAGTGCCAGTCAGTGCCACCTATCAGTGCTGACAATCAGTGCCACCTATCAGTGCCAGTCAATGCCGCCTATCAGTGTGCATCAGTGCCGCCTATCAGTGCCCATCAGTGCTGCCTATCAGTGTGCATCAGTGCCGCCTAACAGTGCCAATCAGTGCCGCCTATCAGTGGCAGTGAGTGCCGGCAGTCAGTGCCGCCTATCAGTGCCATATATGAGTGCTGCCTTTCAGTGCCCATCAGTGATGCCTGTCAATGCCCATCAGTGCCACCTACCAGTGCCTCCTCATCAGTGCCACCTATCAGTGTCCATCAGTGCAGCCTATCAGTGCCCATCACTGCGGCCTCATTAGCGCACATCAGTGAAGGAGAAAAATCACTTAGTTTCTGTTATAAAATTTTTGTAAATAAGAAAAAACTTTTTTTTTCCAAAATTTTCAATTGTTTTGGGTTTGTTTAAGAAAAAATAAAAAAAACAGAGGTGATTAAATACCACCAAAATAAAGCTCTATCTGTCACAAAAAAAGATAACAATTTCATATGGGTACAGTGTTGCACGACCGCACAATTGTCATTCAAAGTGCAACAGCGCTGAAAGCTGGAAATTGGCATGGGCAGGAAGGGGGTATAAGTGCCCTGTAGGCTAGTGGTTAATAAAATTAATACACTTTGATAGTGGCGTCTTCTGTTTGTTTATTGCTTAACCACTTGCCCTCTTGAAGATTTACCCCCCCCCCCCCCTTCCTGACCAGGCCATTTTTTGAGATACGGCGCTGCGTTACTTTAACTGATAATTGAGCAGTCATGCAACGCTGCACCCAAATGAAATTTACGTCCTTTTTTTCTCATGAATTGAGCTTTCTTTTGGTGGTATTTGATCGCCTGTGCATTTTTATTTTTGTGCGCTATAAACAAAAAAAAAACAGCAATTTTGAGAAAAAAAATATTTTTTTGCTATTAAATATGTTCAGTAAAAAATTTAAAAAAAATCTAACTTAGTCATAAATTTAGGCCAAAATGTATTCTGCTACATGTCTTTGCTGAAAACAATCCCAATATGTGTAAATTAATTGGTTTACGGGAAAGTTATAACATTTACAAATGGCGGTATATACAGTATAATGGAATTTTTTTTTTTTTACTAGTAATGTCGCTGATCAGCGACTTATAGCAGGACTGTGGTGGGCATTCTGACACTGGGGGGGAACTGACTTGGTGTCACTAACATCCCCAGTGACACCAATACAGTGATCAGTGCTAATAAAAAGCACTGACACTGTACTAATAGCACTGGGCAGGAAGGGCGTAACATGTGGGGTAATCAAAGGGTTAACTGTGTGCTGTGTGCTGTTTTACTATGAGGCTGTGTGCTGTGTTTCACTGTAAGATGCTATGCAGAGCCATACAAAGCAGTGTGCATGAGCTGACAGTGGAGAGATCTGTGTTGTTTATATACACAGGTCTCTCCCCTGTCAGAGATACCCGTGATCACCGGGTGGCTGCGAGAAATCACCAGCCGGACCTGATGATTGACAGCTGAGGCTGTGAATGCAAAATCACGTATATATACGTGATTTTGCGCACATGTGCTGCCCTGTAGCAGTATTTCTGCTGTAGGGTGGCGCAGAAGCTGGCCATACACATAAAGATTTTTGTTCAAAAAATTTTTGTTTCAAGAATATTTGTTTGATTTTCCAATCGTTTGTGGGGTAAAATCGATGTTCAATGTCAATAGCAGTAGCTGGAAAAATTGAAGGGGCAGGAAGGAAAACTTTTCTCAATCAATTTTTGGCCAATATATGTAGTTATTGATCAGAAATTCCATTCAGTTTCAAATCAAATGTTAAAAGCAAAAGACAATTTTTGAACGACATTCTTTCATTCATCGCATATTCAAAGAATTTTCGTACGACTTTTGTTATGAATATTCTCGTCTGAAAATCTACACGTGTATGGCCACTTTAAAATGGCAGCTTCCTTGGCTGACAAGGATAGGAGGTTTAGTTCTGCTTTAAATATTGCAAGCATCTAAGTTCAAAGAAAAGCATCCACAGCAGCCAGAAATCAACTTAGTTTAGTTTAAATAAATTGAAATCTTGGGTGACAGTCAGATGAGTAAAGCATATCTACTGTTTTCTTTAGGTTGCTGTAACTTGAACATCATCACTGCTATTTGTATTGCTGTTGGGTTTATTAAAATATTGCTGCAATGTTTTATAGATTCACCATGCATATTTTACTAATTGACATTAATCGCAGGCCATTTAATTTTTAAAACATGTTGCTTTTGTTTATGGCATTCTTTATAGCATTATAGCAACTAGTCACATTTTTTCTTTTGTTTTCTTGACAATACTACATTAACAGCTTTCATCTGGGTGGCATAGTTTATCAAACTTTATTACATTAATTATGCATTATGCTATTAAGGGCAATTCCGAAAAAATGCTGTCAGACATCTTAGCTGGAATGATTGGACATAGAAGTGTCATTAGAGATTCAGTTGGCACATTGGAAACTTTCTGATTTCACATCATCTGGCTTTGGGTATGTTATATGCGAATTGTATTATAACAAAAAAACAGCAAATAAAAAAAAAAAAAACCACAAAAACTGTTTCTAAATTATTTCTAAGTACCTGAATGACAAAAAAAAACAATGTCACAAAATAAAGTACAACATTATAGTTATACTTTTACAGGCCTATTTTGTACCTCTCTGAGTTCCAGGAACCAAAACTTGGTCTTGCATCCTCTGTCCAACGCTCAGTTGGATACTGGCAGAATGAAGCAGGTACAAGCAGGTCTGTGCTGTGAGACCTCCTATAGTTTTTTTTGTTACATAGTCTGGCTGAAAAAAGACAAAAGTTCATCCAGTTAAACCATTAAAAAAAAAGTTATAATCCTATACCCACAATTGATCCAGAGGAAGGCAAAAAAAAAAACTCCGCAAAATGATCCAATTCGCTCCTGCAGGGGGAAAAATTACCTTTCTGATCCCCCGAGAGGCAATCGGATATTCCCTGGATCAACTTTACTTATAAATGTTAGTATCCAGTTATATTCTGTGTATCTAAGAAAGAATCAAGGCCTTTTTTAAAGCAATCCACTGAGCTGACCAGAACCAACTCTTGAGGGAGTCTATTCCACATTGTCACAGCTCTCACTGTGAAGAAACCTCTCCGTGTTTGGAGATTAAATTTCTTTTACTCCAGACGTAAAGAGTTGTCCTCTGTGATGATCTCAGGGTGAATAATTATACACCGATGTATTTATACATGTTGATCATATCTCCTCTTCTCAAGAGAGAATATTGTTGTTGTTTGTTTTAAATGTGATTGGGAATGTGGTTATCATGAATGAATTTCTTAAACTCTACTGAACTTCTGGCTTAAACCAGCTAAATACATTCTAATTGCATTGATACAAAAGGCGTGCAGTTTTCCCCTTAGCATCCACAGCCACAACCTCAGCTAATCACCTTTCAGCATGTTCTCATTTAGAAGCAGTGGTCTTTCTTCAGAGGTCTAACATGGCCCCTGCCTAGAGGTAGAACTATCCAATCAGCAAGGAGAATTAGCTGTGCTGATTGCAGAGCTATAGGTCTGAGCCAGCAGGCACCTCTGCAGAGAGACAACTGCTTCCATACAGAGAGCAGGGGTTCTTCTCTGCAACATGCTTCCTTAAAAAATGAACTGTAAGGCATGCATACATTTTGTTTCAATGCACCTAGAATGTATTTAGCTAATTTAAGCTGAAAGTTTACTTCGGCTATAAACTGTTTTGTCAAGGCATGAGAAGGACAAATGTTTGGTCAGCACATGGCATATTTCTTTAATCTAAGATAGGAATATGGTGACAAAATTCTTTGTTTTGTCATCTTACCCCCCTCCCTCCTCTTATTCTCACAATGTCCAAAACGACTTCCATCAATCAGATTTACTTTCCTCTAGGTGTTTGTAATTTTTTTTTATCCCATCCAATCTGTTTTTAGCTTCTGTGCTTCATTTTTAAAATCCTCTAGTCTTCTGCAATTTCTTTTTAAGCATTGCTGTCTCAGAATCCCTGTGAGAAATGTTCAGGGTGCTGACTTGCTGCATGTAGGATGTTATTTGATGCAGTTGGTTTCTTGAATAATTTAGTGCTGATTCTGCAGTGGGATTCAACAATGGATTTCAGATTCAACTATAACTTTGTCAGAAGCTTAAGAAAATGTAAATGAAAGATGCAAGTTATTTTATTCAACTTATTTATTAATTTCTTTAATACCTTTCTCAATCTTGTCCAAAATATAAGTACATTATGAGCAATTCTAACATGGATGAATATGAAAGGAATAATTCATTCTTTTTTTTTTAACTAAAAAATAAGCTCCAGGTAAAGGTTGACCCTTGAATAATCAAATAATAAAGTAAAAAAATTATATATTACCCCCCTAACTAGGGAGCCAAAAAGTGGTTGCTATTGTAATCATCGACTTTACTGTAACATGGTGGGGTCCTCGAAAACCAAAGCAAAGAGAAAATAACATTGGGGAATCAAGAAGACCCCCTCAAGAAAGAAGTTTTAAAAGAGAACCAACAGCGGTATAAATAAAACCAACAGCTTTACTAAATTCAAAAAAAAGGTAATAGACCTATTAGTAATGTAACAAATATAAGAAGCGCCACAGAAAATAACAAGATAAATAAAATAATAAGCAGCACCTCTAACCAAAAAAGGTGAAATTGTGTATAAATAAAGAGTGCACTAATTATTCACAAAAAAAATGCAAGGATAACTAATAGAAATAACAAATAAAATCCATAAATATAAACATAAATCCAGCCACCATAAACAGTGATAATCCGATATCAACTTAATGTCAATTTCAATATTCAAGATTGACATTAAGTTGATATTGGATTATCACTGTTTATGGAGGCTGGACTTTTGATTATATTTACGGATTTTATTTGTTTTCTATTTATCCTTGCAATTTTGGTGAATAATTAGTGCACTCTTTATTTATACACAATAGACCTATTAGGCCAACAATTCCTCCATTCACATTAAAATGAGGTATGATAACGTTATCACCTTAAAATGACCGGGGCCACACACAATAACAAATAGAGTGCTATACAACTACCCTGTCTTAAATGAGCAAATTTTGATGAGTCAATTCTATCCAGAATCTCATACATCGGGAACACCGTTATTCAGCCACATATGCAGGTAACTGAGCTCTGGGAGATGGACTCACCAAACAAACCAAGGCCTTCATAAAATTAACTACAGATTAAGTTGCATGTACATGACAGGGGATTTGAATGAGAACCCAGTGTGAATACATGGCCATACAAGTCCCTATTGGTGCCACTATGG